GCTACTTCATACATGTGATTTTGTTACTGTTATGAATCGTAACGTAAACACGTGATATGCAGGATAGGTGATATGTGACCCCCAGAGGGGTTGTGACTCACATGTCACTGATCTAGATAGTGTTTCACTGAGACCCTCTTTTCTGGTGATTCTAGGTTGTGTCAAGTTGAAAACCAACCAGCACACTCATAATAAAGTTACTGTTGTGTAAATGATTGTTGCACTGTATTGTTTAGTAATAATGAGGAGAAAGAAATCTCTGGGCTGGGGAGATAATTCAGTGTGCTCACTTTGTGAGCACAGGGCCCTGAATCCACTCCTCAGCACCTATATTTCAAAATATGGCACACACTGGAGAGGGAGAGACATGGGATCCCATTGAGTCTACTTGGCGAGTTCCAGGCCAGAGAAAGACACTGACATAAAAGAAAAATAAAAAGTAGACCATGTCTGAGGATCAACATATGAGGTTGTCCTCTGGCCTGCACACACACACACACACACACACACGCACACACGCACACACATGCACACACATGCACGCACGTATGCGCACATACAGGTGTGTACACACACACAGGGCAGAGAAGACAGAAAAAGGGATCTCTGCAGATTCGGTAGAAGTACAATTTAAACATGTCTACTGTGGTCTGTGGTTTGCAGAATGCACAGGTACAGAGCTCATGGACCCGCGGGGCTGACAGCAGAATGTTTTACGTACAAAGCCTCTAAAATAAATAATGCTTCTCATAAATATGTCATCTCTCTAAATGTTCTGTGGTTGTGACCTAGTTTGCTTTTTTTCTTTTTTTTTTATGAGAAAGAGTTTATAAATGTAGCACTCCCTAGTGCAGGCACTGTTCATATACATACATACTTGCTACTCTTCAAGGGACCTTAGGGATCTCCTCATAGATGGCACTGAGGTCGACTCTGGCCCCAGCATAGACACTCCTGTATGGCACAGCTAGCTCCTAGTCCCATCCAGCCCTGGGGTACTTGTCTTCCAGGGCACATGCTCTTCAGGGCTGGTTGTGTTTATATAAGACATAAAAGGAAGGGCTGGGTGGTTAGTTGGCTCAGTTGGCAAACTGCTTGTCTAACATGGAAAAAGCCCTGGGCATGAAGTCCTGGCTTCTATCTTCAGCACGCAGTAAACTGGGCATTGTGGCATATGCCTGCAATACCAGTACCTGAAAGGTGGAGGCAGGAGGATCAGAAGTTCAAAGTTATCCTCAGGTACATAAGTGACTGCTAGACCAGCCTTGGCTACATGATATCCTGCCTCAAATAAAATAAAATAAAGTTGGCTTTATTGCTTAGGACAGTTTTTAGTTTGTGTAAAACTTAAATATTTTCATGGACTCCCCGGCATTCCCAGTTTCTTCTTTTCTTAATGCCTTGCTTGGTTCATTGACTGCAACCGAGTCACATTTCCTTCGCAGCTTCCTGCTGGAATGGCTTTCTTCCTTTAAAAAATCATTTTAAAATAATTTAATTTATTATATTTAATTATGTGTGTCTATCTGTGTGTGTGGGTATGTGCATATGAGTGCAAGTGTCCTCGGAGGCCAGAAGGGGGCACCAGATCCCCTGGAGCTGGGGCTGCAGGTGACTGTGAGCTGTCCAAGGTGGGTGTTGAGAACTGAACTCTGGTTCGCGCGCGCGCTCTCTCTCTCTCCCTCTCCCTCTCTCCCTCCATCCCTCCCTCTCCCCCCCTCCTCCCCTCTACAATTCTTTAGGGCCACTCACTTTTACGACTGTGAAATGAATCTATGGGTACTACATATCTAATTTTAAAATCAATATAATGATAGCAGAGGAACAAAAGTAGCACCATACATAATTAATGTGTATTTGCTGTGATAAATGACCACTCAGAACTGTACTGGAAGCCAGCAGAACTCAGAGGTCTGCACCTACTTGTGATTTAGAAACAGAAGGATGAGAAGATTCTAGAATATTTTTTGGCATTGTTTTTTTCATGTTTAGAGTGTTGAAATAAAATCTCAATAAATATATTCATAAACACACATGGAATTCCTTGGCCTATGACAGTTACACATACGATGGGCACAGAGATGCTGACTGCTGACTCAGACGTGGGGAATGCAGCTGCCTTCAGTGGCCAGAGTTCCTGAAATTAAAAGAGTTCTGTCTTAGTGAGGGTTTCTAATGTTGCAATGAAACACTGTGACCCAAAAGCAACCTGGGGAGGAAAGGGTTAATTTTGTTTCTGCGTCCATATTGCTGTTTATCAAAGGAAGTCAGGACAAGAACTCAAACAGGGCAGGAACCTGGAGGCCAAAGCTGATGCAGAGGCCATGGAGGGGTGCTGCTAACCTAACCGGCTTGTTCCTGCCTGCATTCTTACAGAAGAACCCAGGGCCACCCACCACAGGATGGGTTCTCCCCCAGTTTCCACCAATTGGGAAAATCCTACAGCTGGATTTCATGGAGGCATTTCCTTAGTTAAGGTTCCCTTCTTTCAGATAACTCCAGTTTGCATGTAAGGTTGATATAAGACTAGCCAGTACAAATTCCATATGCCTAGACTTACATGCTAGTTGTATTTTTAGAAAATTTTGTGTATACTCAAAAGATGTCAACATATTTCATGTCCACATATAAAACACAGTTAAAATTCTAATGTGATTGGAAGCACATTTTTATAGAATCAAAGACCCAGGCAGGCTTATGCATCTAGTGTGGCATCAAAGAAAGCACCTGAACTTCTCAAGAATGTCCCCTAGGGGGCGGAGCTGCTGCGAATTGTGCCGCAGTTGAGCTGGGAGGGAACGCTTGTGAAACCTTTAGCAAGGTGCCGGCCACGCCGTCTCCCTTAAAGAAAGCAGCTAATATAATCTCCCAGGAATCGGCAGGGGCTTGGTTTGGGGGGAGCTGGAGCCTAAAAGGCAGGAGAAGCTTACAACAGCTCTTGCTTCTGAACCCTCTTCCTCCCTTTCAAAGTACTGACTTGGCTGTGGTACCGAACACGAGGGAGCTTGACGAGCCCCAGTTTGCTCAGTTACACCTTTACATGTGTGATGCTCTGGATACAAAATAAAGTGAGGAACCAGCACAATGATTCTTTCTTTTAGAGAGCCTGCTATACAGCTTGTGTGTGTTTGGAGGCGAGGCCGCGGCAGGTGCATCGGCGAGGGGCTGGAGGAGGGGTTTGGGGAGGGGGCCCGTTCCAAGACTTCTAGGCAGTTCTCAAGATCAACTGAATCAGAGAGCAAAGAAGAAATGCTTGTTAAAATACCAAACACACACACACACACACACACACACACACACACACACACACACACATATTGGAGGGGGATAGAGTTTCGTGCTAAATCCTGTGTAAATCTACCCTTCTCTTGTCCCCAGCACCAGAGAGAGAGAGAGAAAAATGATTTTCAAAAAGCAGAATAAGGAGGAAATGGAGTCTAAAAACACTCTCGCTAAGGTTTCAGCCAACTCTGTCGCAGTCTGTGATATCGCCCTCCAGCTGAGCTCAAGGCCTGCGCTTTTTCTGTTCTTGGTAGCCAGGTGATTCTCTGAGAAACCTTGACAGGACATCCAATGGAATAACCTGGAACAACCCCCGCCCCACAATCCAGGATGTGGGAGGACTGGGGACTCAGTACATTTGAAGCATTGTTATCGAGGGCAGCATCAGGACCAGAGGGTAGAAATTGTAAGCGTGTGTGTGTGTGTGTGTGTGTGTGTGTGTGTGCGCGCGCGCTCGTGCCTTAAAGCCCAGCAAGCATGGCGTGATTCTTTTTCTTTTGGGAAAAGAAGGGGCTGTTAAAATGACCTAGTTTGACGCTTTCAGTTTATAGTTGAAAATATTGTTTAAAAAAAAAAGATCACTCAGATCTGATCCCAATAAAATATACCCCCCCCCCTTTTCATCTCCGGAACCCTGCAGAGACGTTTAAATTCTCGCTGACTTCCATGATCACCGGCAGAGCGGAAACTAAAAAGGAAACCGGTTACTCTGGAAAGAAACTAGGGTGGTTTCCTTTAAATAAAGGCATTGGCATGTTAGAGCACTCAGATTAAATTTAGAGACTGATACTAACCTATTGATAAAATTTAAACTCTATAGAGCTGATTCTCTTGTGAGTCTTCCCGGGCCGGCCCTGTGGACCAGGTTGCAGCTTCGTTGGGGAGACCAGCACCACCGCGCAAGGGTATGAAAGTTGGCAGGGTCAGAGATGTGGAGAACATGGATGAAGGACCGGCAGGAAGAGGAGTCTTCAAGGGGGATTGATCTTGGATGTTCAGACAGGGAAATGAGACAGATGGATAGAAAAAGGCCCAGGGATAGTCGCATTGGGAGAAACCACTGTTACAGCAAATCCACAATCTAAGTTGGTGGAGGGAAATAGGGAGGAGAGTTAAAGCCCTTCAAATGCAGGAGATACAAGGACTTGGGGACAGGTGAATTCCGATACCGGCCTGGGCAGGAGGGAACCAGGTGCAAACCCTGTAACCTGCATGGATCCACGAGAGAAAGAGGGACGAGCCGCGACGCTTTCTCTCCTGCCCACTCGCGGCCACAGGCTCGGACGACTGCAGAGCAATTAGGGTGGAAGGGTTCCTCCTGGGCACCAATCCGCTACGCGAGTGGGGGGCGCGTCCTCCGTCACGCCCTCGCCCAGTCCTGCGCTAGCCTCAGGCTGGTCCCCACGCCCCCTAACAGTCCCTCGGCTTCCGCGCGCCTGGCCCGTGCGGGGCCCTCCCTCTCCACCCGCCTCGGTGCATCGATCCCGATCCCGGTGGCCGGGCTCAGCGCCTCGGGGCGGGTCCCTGTCGCCCGCACCTGCCCCCGGGGGCGGAGCGCAGCGGCGACAGCGCTGCCCCAGCCTCCTCCACACGCCAAGCTAGCGGTGGACCTGCCGCTCACCGCGGTCGGGGTGAAGCTCTCCGTCTCCGCGCCCTCGGTCCCTTGTCACTTCGGACAAGCGGTCGGTGTTTCCTCGGGGATCTGCAGCCCCGGCGCCATGGAGCCGGCCCTGGGCAGCGAGCGCCGCAGCCCCCCTGGCCCCGGAGCTCCGCGACCACCACCGAGGGGCCACGCGCCTTCGACCACCGCCCCCGCCCCCAGCCCGGCCCCGGTGAGCTCCTCAGTGCAGCCGGACGAGGAGCGGCAGCCGCGGATCAGCGAGAGCGGCCAGTTCAGCGACGGGCTGGAGGATCGAGGTGAGTTGCCACCGCCCCGGGCCCTTTCCCCACCGCCTCTCGGAAGCCACCTGTCCCCTGTACGCGCGGCTCGGCGCGGAGAGCAGATACGACATTCCCACCTCTCAGGATTTGTGCCGGCCGGGGGCGGTGCCTCCTGGGAGCCCCTTTCAGGTTCCCGATCCCGGCGGGTGCCTAGGCCAGCCTTGTCCGGTGTCCTCGGGAAAAGTTTGTAGATAGGGTTCTTGGTCGCTTAGAGGAGACTGAGAGGGTTCATCTCCGTGCTGGGAGATGTGGGTTCTAATGCATCCCGCCGCGCGATCCCTGCCATTCACCCGGGGAAAGTTCTTTTTGCTGGATTTGTGGCGGGGTGCCTCATAGGTCCCCTTAGCCTCTGCACTCAATAGGGCCTGACTCTCTCTGAGGTTCTGGGTCACAGCGGTCACCGCTCTACAGTGTGAGGGTGCTGGCAGAGCGGTTGGGGTTTTGGGGCTCTGACCGCTAACCTGGTCTGCACAGATGCTACTCAAAGCTGGTACTTCCTGGAGAACGTGTGTCCAACTCTCAGAGTCCTTCCTTGGACGCTGGACTTGGACCCGTGCATCTCCCGGAAGGCATCTCCAGCTCTTGTCCACAGCCGCTGCCTCCTTAGGGTGCCTGCATCCAACGCCAGGGCTCCCTTTATTCATCCCGCCTCGCTCTCCTTCCCCATCCTGCCCTCGTGGCCCTTGGCTTGGATTCTTTGCGGAGACGACCGCATCTACTACACCTTTGCTCTTTCTTACTGCTTCCGAATTGGACCCCTCGAAAATTATCAACAGTTCTGCTAAAAACCCTTGGTGGCAGATTTGGGGTCTCTGCAGCCAGGCCCTTCCCAGGCAGCCGGCTCTGAACACCTCTACTCATTTTTTTTTTCTTGGAAGCTTTCATCTGTCGACTGTAGAGTGCTTATATTATTTTAGTTCCAGCAGGTTTCTGTCCTATTCTTAGTACCTTGCACATCTTTAAATTCCGGTTTCGTGTTGGGATGCAGGATTTCTTCCTTAGAGATTCCGAATTGTAGCGTGTGAAACAGGATGACATGGAAACAGATTTCCCAGAGAAGCGGCAGAGATGCTGTGCGGGGAACTGGAGCTGCTCCAGCTTGGAACGAGTTCTGCACCCGGGTTGCAGGTTCATTCCCTGTTCCCTCAGAACTGTATAGCCTTGAGGACAGGAGAGAAGGTGGCACCCTCGGAAACCCCGAAGAACCTCTCGCTTTAATTCTGGGGTGTTAGAATTACCTTTACTCCGTGGTAACTCGCATTGCAAGATTTAAACATTTTGTATTGAAGAAAGACGGATGCCCCGGGTTGGGCTTAATTCTGTAGCATTGCGGGTTATCTGTAAGAGCTGGCCAGTCAGTCTCTCCTAACCCCTGCAGAAGGACAGACAAGAAACCCAGACTGGAATGAATTGATATTTATCAATATCAAGAGGCCCTGCTTCAGCATTAAATTACAAGGAAACAAAACCCTTTTCTGAATACGTTCTTTAGGTTTTCTGTCAGTGGTCAAATGAACTTCATTTTCCATTATATTGTCTCCTGAAAGCATTGGCTGTTCATAAGCCACTGCTGTGTGGAAGCTCACATATCACACACAATCTCTCTGTTAGGATGCATTGTGTCCCCTACAGAACCCGGGGTTCTGTGCCATTTTTAAGCTAGCTGAAAGTCGCTGTGACATTTCTTTTGTTCCACCCATTCCTGGCTGCAAAGGGTTAATGACAAATGAAAAACTCCAGTTAAATGAGAAGCCTCCTGGAAGCTTGGGTGTAATATTTTATATGGTTGTGCTATTTTATCTTTCTTATATCCATTTTTTTTGGTATCTCTTGGAAAAATGGTTCATGGGTTAGGACCACCTTCCCACCAGCGACAGGAACCAGGGAAGAGGACTGCTCCCTGGTCTCCAGCTCTCCCTTTAAATGGCTTTCTGCTTAGGCCCCATCCCCACAGGGTGTGGGGGATGGGCACCCCGGGGCTGCGTCTTCCATACTGGTTTTTGTGTTGACTTCCTTCTGAGGCTGTAGAACCCTATGGCAGACCACTGCTGATTCCTATTGGAAAGTTGCTTTATAACTAGTGGTTTGGGATTTTGGGGGACATTTTCTTCTTAGAAGAGATATGGGCTAGTTCTCAGAATTCCAGAGAGCCCAGAATGTCCCAACACTACTATGACAGCTGGTTATCTTAGTGGTTTCTTCCCTCTCCCCTTCTTTAATATCCATTTTTTATGATTTGTCTCAAACCTTAGGATGTGGCCCTCCTCACACAGTTATAGACTTTATTGGGCACTTTCCCCAGCTGCTCTTCCAATTAAAACAAACAAACAACAAACAAAAACCCAATAAAACACCTTTTTGCAGGCATTAAAGCTCAATGGCCTGGTGTGGTGACTCTGGCCTAGAACACCAACCAGCACTTGGGAAAGAGGAGCAGGAGGATCACTGTGAGTTCATGGCCACCAGCCTGGGCTACATACCAAATTCTGGGCCAGTCTTGACTGCAGAGTGAGACTCAACCCAGAGACAACAAGAACAACAAAAGTGAATAAGCATAGGAGACATCAACGACAAGTTGGAAATAACATCTTCACATATGTTTACCTCCGTCCTCCTTTGTTAACATATCCCTTGGCATTGTCAGAGCCACACTGTGGAGTTTAAGTTAGGTTAAAATTTCATCCTGGAGACTGGCTGTGGGCAGGGGGCTGCAGCGCTGCACATGGACCGTTGGGCTAGCCTGCCTGGTTCCCACTTGTGATACACTGCTGTCTGAACCCTCCCTCTTCCCCCACATCCCTGTGGCTTTTGGGTGGGAAAGCATCTGACATGGATGCAGAAGGAGCATCTGTGTGGAGACCCATCATTTCTGAGCTGAGTCCTGTGGGTCATCACATTCTACTTCCTTTGGGGTATAAAATGCCCATTCTTGGCATCAGCCATGTGGGTACCTATGTATGTCTATGTTATTTGTGTGTGTTGGTGCTCGTATGTAGAGGGCAGAGATAGCTTCAAGTACCATTTCTCAAGTGCTGTCCTCTTATTTTGGGAACAGATTCTCTCACTGGTTGATTCCATTTTCTGGCCAGTGAGCGTCCAGGGGACCTAAGCATGCACCGCTATTCCTGCGTTTTTATGTAGATTCTGGGGTTCTCATGTTTGTGTGGCAAGTGCTTTACCACTAAGCCTCCTCCTGAGCCCTGCAGCTGCATTTTTAGAAAGGAAACAAAGAGATAAGCACAGTTGCACCGAAAGAGAAAAGTCCTTCCTCTTTTGAAGTGTTTCCATGATAATGACTTCATGTTGTTTTTCCCTCCTCAACTTTTCAGTCTCCCAGGGGAGCTACAGGGAAGGTTGGATCTCTGGAAGAACCTCCAGTCCTCCTCACTCACTGGAGCAGGTGGTCCAGCCCCTTCTGGCTCCCACTTGAATCTTCTGTAGTGAGTGCTGATCCTGGAGAGGCCAGAGGAAACACTCGCAGGGCAGGCGTGGTCAGGGCCAGGTGTGCTGGCAAAACCAGCCAGCTCTGGAGGGAGAAAGAAATGTTGCTTGGCAGAGTGGGCAGGAGTGTTCCCAGTAATGGCTGTCCCCCAGTGGAAAAGTAAACCAGCTTCTCAAAGGGATCATGTTTTTGCCTCCACTGGACAAACCTCTTAAAATGGGTGCTGTCAGAATGCCTGGCAAATGAACCATTCGTTTGAGCTGCTACTTAAGTGGTGTGGTTTCACTTCTCCTGAAACCAATGGACCAGGAAGAAAGCACACACTCGTGTGTGTGTGTGTGTGTGTGTGTGTGTGTGTGTGTGCGCCGCGCGCAGAAGTGGAAGTCGGAGGTTGATGTCAAGTATCTTTCTTGATTGCTCTCCACCGTGTGTGTGTGTGTGTGTGTGTGTGTGTGTGTGTGTGTGTATTAAGGTTTTTCAACTTAAAATTTATTTTTAAATTCAGGGATGGTGGTGGTGGTGGTGGTGGCAACACACACCTTTAAGTACAATACTTGAAAGGCATAGACAAGGGGATCTCTATGAGTTCAAGGCCAAGTCTGGTCTACAGAGTGAGTTCCAGGACAGCCAGGGCTGTTACATAGAGAAACATTTTCAAAAAACTGAAAAAAAAAACTCTTTTTAAATTTTATTTCACAACCCCCCCTTTTAAACACCAGTTTTGGAGTCTTATTTTTTCCTAATTTTCAAATTAAAAATATAATTACATCGTTTTCCCCTTTCCCTTTCTTCCCTCCAACCCTTCCCTTGAACAACCCTCCTTGCTCTCTCTCGAATTCGCAGGCTCTGTTTCTCTAATTGTTATTATATATAAGTTCAGCCTACAGGGCTGATCACTTGGTAACCAGTTTTCGGACTTATCTCTGGAGAAGACTGTTTCTCCTGCTCTCAGTGTTCCTTAGTTGCCTGCGGTTCTTAGTCTAGGGTTGAGACTCCATATGATTTCCTCCTTCCGTGCTAGCATGCGGGTTCGTGTCATCCTTGTTCAGGTCTTGTGTAGGCAGCCATACTGATGAGACTGCGTGGGTGTAGCTTCCCTGAGATGAAATCTCACTCCACCTTGTTTTTCAAGACAGGGTCTCTCACTGAACTTGGAGTTGTGTTTTCACTAGACTGACTAGCCAGAAAGTCCCATGATCCTCTTGCTTCTACTTCCCCAGCACTAAGGTGACAGGTATGCCTCCATGTCTGTCTGTTATGTGTTCCTGGGATCTGAACCCAGGACTTCAGGCTTTCACAGCCAACACCATTCCCACTGAACCATCCCAACTCATTTGGGAAAGGGAAGGGAGCTTTTAGAGGTGCATGGGACTTGTTTATTCTAGGTTATAGCTTCCCGTGGACACAGGAGTGATTTGCTTTTAGGGATAAAAAAGAGATTTTTCTTCAAGAGCCCAGGAAGAAACAGAAAACTGTGCTGTCAAGTTATCATTCGAAGGCGCCAGGACCTGCAGCAGAATCTGTGCAGACAAGAGGCCTGAATTCTTCTCCTCAACCTGCTCTCACTTATTTTACTGTTTGGAGATAGAGTCTACATAGCCTAGGCTGGCCTCAATCTCACTGTGGAGCTGAGGATAGCCTTGAACTCCTAATCTTCCGCCTCCACCTCCGGGGGGCTGGGATCTTAGCTGTCTATGACCCTGCCCCTTTTATTTGGTGCTGGGGTTAGAACCTGGCCTTGTGTGTGATAGGCAGACCCTGTGCCAACCCAGCTACAACTGCAGCTCCGTGGCTGAATTAATGAAGGAGGTTTGAGGCTAGTTTCCCAGGGCAAAGGTGAAGATGGAGCTGATAATACCTGCTTGCTTTCTCATTTATCCTCTGATCCTATAGAAGCGCCCCTTCCCCGCCTGGTTTTGCTCACTCTGATGTCTCTTGGGTTACTACTCACAAAACACCTGTCTGCAAAGTCCTGCATGCTTTGAGGCCTGTTCAAAGATGACTGGGCAGAGGTAGTTCAGCTGGATCTTTGTTATAATTGTGTGTGTGTGTGTGTGTGTGTGTGTGAGAGAGAGAGAGAGAGAGAGAGAGAGAGAGAGAGAGAGATAGACTCTATTGTATAGCTCTGGTTGTTCTGAAACACACTATGTAGACCAATCTGGCCTTGAACTCATAAAGATTGCCTTGCCTCTGCCTCCTGAGTTCTGGGATTGAAGGCACAGGCCACCACGCCCAGCTGTCCTGATTCTTTTAAACAGGATACTGCTTTGGGCAGTGATAGGGCTCAGAAAATGATTCCCCAAAGCACACTACCTTGGCCTGCTGGACACTCTGAGCTGACTGTTTCTGGAAGGCCTTAAAAACAAAGCCTTGTCCTTTTTCTTCTCCTTACCTTTGCACCCCAAGGCTGACCATGGAAACTAGAATTCCTGGCTGGGGAGCTGGTTGGGTTGGTAAGGTGCTGGCCTTGCAAGCATGGGGACCTGAGTTGTGTCCCCAGAACTCATGTAAAACCAATGCTGGGTGTGGTGGCGCATGCTTGTATCCCCAGCACTGAGGAGCTGGAGATGGGCAGATCTCCAGGACCCACAGGCCAGCCAGCCTAAGCAGAATAGGTGAGCTCCAAGTTGAGAGAGAGAGAGACACTATCACAAAATATGTGGCAGACAGTATCTGAGGAACAACACCTGAAGTTTACCTCTGACCTCCAAATATGTGCACACACATGTGCATATGAACCCGAACACATACCAGTGTACACACACGCACACATTTAAAAAATCCCAAATGTTAAAAAAAAAACAGGAAAGAAATTTCTACCCTCCTACCTCAAAGATGACCATAAACCCAAGAATTATTGTTTTGCACACCCCGTCCCAAAGTGTGAGAGCTGGACAGAGAGAGAGAAACTCTCTGACTGCCCTTGTCTAATGGTGAGTCAATCAAAAGACCTCATCCCAGAAAGGGGCCTGTGCCACACTCAGCACATTGGTGTCTTTTATGGAACACTAAGGCTCAGAGCAGACAGGTCTCGCTGAGTCTCTCTGCCTCATTCGTCTCTTATCTAATCTCATCTCCACAGGGATATGCATTTTTCATTGAATTGGAGCATAAAAATAGCTCCCCTTGGCTTTTGGGTCTTTATTTCTGAAGCCTTCCACGTCATATAGGATGGGATCTCTCTCTCTCTCTCTCTCTTCACCGCTCCTCTTCCTCCCTCCCCCTTCTTTCTTTCTCCTCTTTCCTCTTCCTCTTCTTTCCTTTCACCTCTTCTTCATCCTTTCCTCCCAACTATCTGATTGTTGGTTTTACTAATTTTTGAGATGGAATCTTATGTATGCCAGGCTGCACTCAAACTCCCTATGTATCTGAAGATGGAGACAACATGGAACTTATGATCCTTCCTCCACCTCCCAAGTACTGGGATTTCATTCATTCATCCCCATGTGTGACTAGACAGTGCTACGGGTGGAATCTGGGGCTTCTTGCATGCTAGGCAAACACTCTACTGAGTGAGCAACATCTCTAACCCATTGCATAGATCTTTGTTTTAATACATTTGCTATATGTTTTTATGTTGTTTTTCTCATGTTAACCTGTCTTGTAGGTGTGTCAGTCATGACCATAATTATAGGAAGAATAATCTCCTGTCCTTTCTGCTCCAATAGTGGCGGTCAGTCAGATACAGGAATGGTGCTCGTGTGTGGTACGTCTCATGCTGTGACATTTTACAAATGGTGCCTAAGCTTTACCTTCCTGTTCACCATTGTCTACAGCTAGTGTGATGAGGCCGCCCTGTCTCTGAAAGATACGTTCCGAAACCAGAGCAGGCACAGTTGACTTTACCTGTACAAGATACACTTCTGATATTTTAAGTTGCTGGTAACTAAAAAAGAGTATATACACACATCATCATCTTTGTCTTCCTCCTCCTTTTGGGTTTTCTGAGACAGAGCTTTTCTCTGTTTAGCCCTGACTGTCTTGGGACTCTCTTTGTTGATCAGGCTGGCCTTGAACTCAGAGAACTGCCTCCAAAGTGCTGGGATTAAAGACATGTACCACCACTGCCTGACTACAATTTTATTATTTTTAAAATTCCATAATTATTATTTACTGTATGTGTACATGTCTGAATATGAGGAGGACAGGAGATCCTGTCAGATCCCCTGGGGCTGGAGTTACAGACAATTGGGATCTGCTTGACATGAGTGACAGGAATCAAACTTGGGTCCTCTGCAAGAGCGGCATGTGCTCTAACCACCTCTCCAGCCCCTACAATTTTATTCTCAGAGGATAAGAAAGAAGTACAAATCAACCCGGAGATGTGTCCGTGGGCATTGCTGGTGAGTTATCACAGACTCTTGTTAAGGACTCCTTATGTGCAAAGCGTAGGAGATAAGCCTTGTTGTACTTGAAGCCTTCCTAGGAAACTAGGTTTGGCTTTAGCAGTTTTCAATGTACTTTCAGATTCAGATAGTATGTGTATGTGTGTGTACATGCATCTGTGGGTGTAGTTTAATCAGAAGTCTTTTCTTGGGAATGCTATACACCTCGAGATGGAGTCTCTCATTGGCCTGGAACTCATCAAGGAGGGTATACTGGCTGGCTAGTGAGCCCCAGGGATGTGCTTGTCCCTGTTTCTGAAGTGCTAGGATTACAAGTATGTGTTACTACGCCCATCTATTTTACAAGGATTCTGGGGAATCAAACTCAGGTCCTCATATTTGTATGGCAAGCAGTTTATTAAAATGAACTCTCTCCCTAGATCCCTGAGAAAGCTTTAAATTTTTAATTAATTGGTTAATCAGTTATTTGCTTAATGTGTGCTTCAATACAAAGGAAAGAGAAAACATGCTGTATAATCTGGGCCTGATGGCTACTAGTTGCCTAGGGGTCTAAAGAGGGCATTTGTATCGTCTCAGATTCCTTGGTTTGTATAAACCCCACACTGCTATTGGGACTGTACTAATGGATCAATGCTCACAGCTAGGGAGCCCAAACATCTAATTAGTTACTACAGTTCTTTCCTAATGAAGGGTTTTGTTGGGACGAGAACATTCTATTGAGCCAAGTGGCTTAGTGCAGAGGATGAAGATTGGCATGGAAGGAAGATGGCAGGAAGTGGTGAGGTGTGTGAAGGAGTCCTTCTAAGTTGGAGAACTTCTGTTGCCCTGTGGAAACTCTTATCTGATACTGCCGGGGCCTGTGGCTTTATAAGGAATGCCAGAACACTTGATAATTTTGTTTTGTTTTTTGATGTGCAGTCTCCTAGTTGTAGAAACGTAGTGTGGGCCAGACAAAACACATCTTGGCCCACAGGCTGTGGGTTTGCAATCTTTGGATGAGATTCCGTAGCTCTGGCTGTGCGTTCTGTTGTATGAAAATGCCTTATACTCCCTCTCCTCCCTGTTTCTATCAGGTTTACTAGAAAGCAGCACCCGGCTGAAACCTCACGAAGCCCAGAACTACAGGAAGAAGGCATTGTGGGTATCCTGGTTCTCCATTATTGTCACCCTGGCCCTGGCAGTGGCTGCCTTCAGTGAGTATCAGGAAGTCTCGCCAATCAATGCTCGCAGTTGCCTGTCTTTCCCTCTAACCCCCGTGGGATGTGCTTTGCTTTTAGTTGACTGTTATTGATGAGTAAAATTTTTTTTAGATGGTTGGATAATCAGGGTACTCATGAATTAGTAAAATGGCTTCACTCCTCTGCAGAGGGAAGAGGTATGAGAAAGAAGCGGAGGGGAATAACTGAGAGCTTCGGTCTCATCAGTATGCAGGTTTGTGGAAGTGGATTCTGGCTGGCACCAGCCGAATAGTGAAAATAGTCTCTTGGCAGATGCCTTCAGCTCGGGCTGACATGACAAATACGCATCCCGGAGATTTGGATTTTGAGCCTAATGCAACTTGATGAGTGCAGTATTGCAAGAAGCTCTCTCCTTTCCCTCTTGACTGGGGCTCGTGCAAGGTCAGGAATGAAATCACATGTACGATTTTAATGAAAGAAACATGGAAAGGCCTTATTTCAGGGTTTTAGGGCATGAAAAGAAAATAATTTCCTACAGTTCTGAGATGCATGAGAACAGAACAACTTCTGTCTATAGATGATTTTGTGTGGTAATCTGGACTTTCTATGGTGGGTTTTCTCCACTGAGACACATGTGCTATTTATTCTTACTAAGTGTGCAATGATTCACAAGTTTAAGCTCTGAACTACAGCTCAACCCTGATAGGAATTGTGTTGTTTTATTTTTATTTTTGGATTCTCTCTCTCTCTCTTTTTTTTTTTTTTTTTGGTTTTTCGAGACAGGGTTTCTCTGTGGTTTTGAGCCTGTCCTGGAACTAGCTCTTGTAGACCAGGCTGGTCTCGAACTCACAGAGATCCGCCTGCCTCCGCCTCCCGAGTGCTGGGATTAAAGGCGTGCGCCACCACCGCCCGGCTCTCTCTCTCTTTTTTTAATGGTGGGAACAAGGCACTGTGTTTAAAATTTTGTGATGGAGAGAAAGATCTGTGCTTGATGTGCTAAGCATCCCACAAGGTGCTTCAGGGGAGGAGGGAAAAGACCGTGGTCATTAGGCCGTGTGGCTGTGTGCAAGTTGTTTAAAATTCTCCGCCTTTGATGCTTCTGCTGGAAGTTGGGGCTGGATCCCAAGGGGGCAGGAATTAGAATTTGACCAAATGCTCCCTTCAAAACTCAGCATATATTATTAGAGACAATTTATACTGGAAACAGTGTACAATAGCCTGGCTCTAAAATAACCAAATATTCAGAATACTGAAATTTTATTCCCTGAAATATTTCAGGGAATAAACATTTATCAGTGAGCCAGAAATCTAATCAGGAAGAACTCTGATTTTTGAAAGTATAATAAATAGCTTCTCTTTCCCCTTGCCTTCTCTTTTTTAATACTGAGACCAAAATAACAAGGCAATAGATGTCCCTCGAGGGCAATTTGGTTGTTGTGGCTGGTAGGGGCACGGGAGATCAGACATGGTAATTTACATATGTGAAGAAGGAGGAATGAAATGAAGGGGGGAGGGTGATTTACAGACAGAATAATGGCTCCTTAGGCGTGTCCCCGTGCCCTAGAAAGCTGTTAGGGCAGCAGCCTCCTCCGAGTGTTTGAATAAGGACTAGAGTATGGGGTTGTGAATGCGTCTTCCTTTTGAAATAACACTGTTGCATTTCGTGTGCTTACGCCATGTAATAGAGAAGAAATAGGAGAAAAACTCAGCTTCACTTGTAATACCCAGTCAGGAGAATTATTCTAGAAACGTTCCATTACTTTTGATGGAAAAAGTCTCCATGAGGCCAGGTCACAGGCTTAGGAAGAGTTTCTTTTTGAAAGCCATCGTACTCCTTTATCGTAGAATTATTTAACTTAAATCCTTTAACTTCCCTTTTAAAGATTCGCGTTTACTGGTTATCTATGTGTACGCACGTGATTGCCCGTGTTTGTTCTGTCCATCCTAGGAGGCCCGAAGAGGGTGTGGAACCCCCTGCAGATGGAGTTCTGGCCAGTTGTGGGACAGGGATATTGGGGGCTGAGTTCAGCTCCTTTGCAAGAGCAGCGAGTGTTCTTAACCACTGGCCATCTCTCCAGTCTCTTTAACTTCTTGCCTCTAAGATGTGGATGCTGTTGTGCTGTCTATTATGATCTGTTATGTTCTATAAGCCTTTCATTTCACTTGTGAGCTGCTTCTAACTGCTTCTGGTTTAGTTAAACCCTAAAGCATATACGATAAATCATATTTTGCCCCATTTAAACTACAGTGACTTCAGTACCTCTGTGTGTGTGTGCACACGTGTGCACATGTGCGTGTGTAGGGGTATATGCTTATGCATGCTGCAAGTCCTTGCAATTCCCATCACAGCCCTCCACTGTACTCGAAGCTACCCTTAGCTTTCTATATGGGTGCTGGGGATTCAAACTCAGGTCCTCACGCTTGCACAGCAAGCACTTTGTTGACTGAACCATCTCCCCTCTGAACTCAATTTATAATTCTTGGTGAGATAATGATTTGGGTAAGCTAGAGCATCTATATGAAACTATGGTAATTCATTTTGGAATATTTCAGAGGGAAGTCCTTGTTTGGTTTTAAAATAGATTCAGCATATAATGGGTAGGCAGTGTAGAAAATAGCAGCACTCTTCTTATGAACGAATGTGAAAACAGGTCTGTTGTAATAATGAGGCCAGAGAGAGGATAAAAGTTCAGCTTCAAAACTCAGAGTTCTGCCAACATTGATGTCTTTGTCAAGATGATCGAAGAAAATGTATTCTGACTTTGGTTTTAAGACTTGAGTATGTTAATTTTTAGGGGCTGGATACTTGCTTGGTTCTGTGGAAAATGAAGTTATGTTGGAAACAGTATCAAGAGGAAAAATCATTTTCTAAGGTGGTGTCTTAGTTTCTTTTTTGCTGATGCAATTAAATATTCTGTCCGGAGCAATTTAAGGGAGAAAGGGCTATTTTGGCTGCTGGTTCCAGGGTATGGTCCATCATGGGGGTGAAGTCACGGTGGCAGGAGCTTAGGGTAGCTGATCTTGTTGCATCTACAGTCAAGAATCAAGGCCAAGATTCCTGCTTAGTTCGTTTTCTCCAGTTTATTCAGTGTAGCATCCCTACCGAGGGAATGATGGCACCCACAGTGGGCAGGTCTTCCCACTTCAGTTAACAAAATCAAGATAATCCCTCACAGGCAAGTCCAGAGGCTGGCCTCCCAGGCGAATCCAGATTCTCTCAAGTTGACAATTAATTAACACCAACCACACAGCAACTATATAGCTCCATTAAAACAAAATAACAACCTCAAACTAAATAACAAAGCCCCTTAAACCAAAAGCACTCCAAACCAAGATCTCAGAACCTGAATCTGACCCTCAGGACCCATGTTAAAAATAGAAACAAACAAGCAATTTGGGTGTGGTGGTGCACACTTGTTGGGGAGGTGGAGGCAAGGAGACTCTTGGGGTGCCTTGGCTGACCAGCCTAGTCTAATTGGTGAGCTTCAGGCTAGTGAAAGACTTTGTCGCAAAAACCAAAATGGAGCCAGGCAGTGGTGCATCCTTTTAATCCCAGCTTTTAGGAGGCAGAGGAAAGTGGATCTCTGTGAGTTTGCATCCAGTCTGGTCTACACAGGCCAGCCAAAGCTACATAGTGAGACCCTTATCTCAACAAACCCAAACAGGTGCTTGGGGAATGACATCTGAGGTTGTTCTGTGTTCTCCACACACAGGCACATATGTGCCTCTACACACACGTGCACAATCACACATACAGGCACACACAACATGGAAGTACATTAGGCAACTTCAGAACTAGGAAAGCAAACCTCTGAAAGGAGTGGTTTCTTTTTTTTAATATATGGGGATTTTTTAAAAAAAAATTGTGCTTGCATATATGTCTGTATACCATGCGCAAGCCTGGGGCCCAAGGCCAGAAGAAGGTATTGGATCCCTTGGAGCTAGAGTTACAGAGAGTTGTGAGCTACCATGTGGGTGCTGGGAATTGAACCCCACTCTTAATCACTAAGCCGTCTCTCCAGCACCCCGATTGTGGGAATTTTAATATTTGATTTAGTTTAAATTTTTGACCTTTAAGCATGATAATATAATGTGTATGCATCCTTTTAGAAAGCTTTTCCATTTACTGTATCATTTTTATGCATGTGTGTGTCATGTGTGGAAGCCGGAGGGCAACTTTCAGATGTCCATTCTCTCCTCCCACCATGTGGGTCCGAGGAACTGAACCCAGGTCCTCAGGCCTGGTGGCAAGCCCCCATCAGCTGAGACATCTTGAAGCCCACGTCCTTTTTATTTCTATACCCTAAGGGTAACAGAAGTGAGATAGATAAGGTAAGATCACATGACTTGTCTGCATTAGTAGAGAAGTCTGGGGACTTCCCAAGGTGTCCCCTTACCTCAGTGGATACACGGTCAGATAGAGAAGAACCAAGGTGACTTCCAGGACAGGTGACACAATCTGAATCCCTAGCACCTTGAGGCTGAAGCAGGAGGATTGAAAGTTTGAGGTCAGCCGATGCTATGTAAGGGAGACTTTGTTTCAACAACAACAACAAAAAGAGAGAAAAAAGAAAGAAAGAAAAAGAAACAAAGAAGGAAGGTAACTGAGAGTCCGCAGGAGGCTTCCTGGGTTCTAAGAGTAAAATCTTAGTGTTTAGAGTGGTATTTACTTATTTATTTATACTTAAGTATTGTTTTCTGACACAGGGTTTTATTGTGTAGCCCTGGCTGTCCTGGAACTTGCTCTGCAGACCAGGCTGGCCTTGAACTCACAGAGATCCTCCTGCCTCTGCTTCCTGAGTGCTGGGGCTCCACCCTGGCCAGACCTGGCCCTTTGAACTTCGGCAGGACTGGAGTCATGTTCTTTGGTGTGGCTTGGACTCATAGGACAGACTGCTTCTCACAGACTCCTCCCGAGTCACGTGGCCTCACCACCTAGAAGAGGCTGTATGATGGCCAGGCAGGAGTGAAGATGATCTAAGGAGGATTTGCACCTCTCTTTTTTGGTTATCAGA